ATCAAGCAATTAAAATTTCGAAATATAGATAGCAGGGTGCTGAGGTACAGGGAGTGAGGAGAGGGGAACAACTGTATCTACAACCCTTGACCCCGGCATGTAATGGCTTTTGTTTGTCGGCCAATTAGCACATCGCTGTTGAGCAAGGAATAACACATCGTAAAGCTAATTCTTGCATTGTAAATTGATTAGGATGCTGCTCAGCTGGTTTAATTTACAACTATCCAACTGCTCCCAATCCATCACCCAGCCGCTGCGTCTCATCGCTCCTACAGTAATAACTGAAATTTCGACCCTCAACGAGTTCCCTTCGTTCCTGCCTTATTTAGACGCTGTCGCTGCCGCTGCTGTGAGCTCTGAAAGGACGTTGCGAATTGAACAACACAGTGATGGCAAGTAGGCATGCCATCAGCGAACCATACTTTTACGGACAATTCAAGCTCAAGGCTGTTGTAAATTTTCACTTCCTTAAATAGTAAAGTTTGAGTGTGAATTAACGACTGGGTAAATGCTGGGTAGGTAGGCACATTGGTCACTTTGCTGTGAATTTGCTGATCACAACACCTTGCCTCGTGACGTCTTTAGAAAGGAGTGGGACAAAGTGAACGGGCGTACGAGCAGTGCACAAAGCCGCGGAGGTGGCACATCGGAAACATAGCTAACCCGCAAAGTAGCGTCAATCTAGCGTTCCCACATCCGGCGTGTCATCGACATCGAACAGTCCAGAACAATATTTCCGGTGATCTGTAGTACACGCCTACTTTAAATCACTTAAGTACTGGGCCATTTTCGACTCCCGATAGTTGGCGTCTATCCAATGCTAGTGAATAGCACTTGGAAAAAGTAAACAGTCGCTCGAGCGGTTTTTTATTAAGGGCGTCGCAAACAAGTTGAATATGTACAAGAACAATAATTCAGTATGTGAAGCTTAGAAATAAGCGGCCAGGCGTAACTTTTCTTGGAGTGTGCCAGTAGTACCATCGTCACCGAAAAATCATGTCGATTAGAAATTAGCTGAATGATTCGTCATTCAGACTAGCATAATACGCATATGCGTGTTCCTGAACAATCGTTTCCCCGTGCTTCTAAAATAAAGCGGTGGATGAGCAGTCAGACATTCGAAGCCAAGCATTTTGTTCCGTGTAGCGCTGATTTTAATTCCATTTATTGTAATGTGTTGGTGAAATAGCGCTACCGGAAGTGGGCATTTAATGTGAACTGCAGTCTGAACAAAAAAAAAAGATTTGAGAAGAAACTGGGAAAAAAAATCATGGACAAATTCGTACATAATCGACGAGTTAAATTCTGTGCAGGATTCTTCTCAGTTCTTTGAAGCAGGAAATGGGAATGCGATCTATGATGAGGATCAGGCTAGTTCGTTCTCAGATATCGCTGCATTTGTTAGTTTTGATTTACACGCATATTATACAGTAACAGCGAACTATTGCCCAGGCAAGGATCAGTGCTGGACGGTGTGAAAAAAAACCATCTGGTGTGGTGAACATAACCACCACTGTTTGTTCATAGATCAGTGCTAGAGGCACATTTGTTCATGTGGCAAATTCGGGGATAAGTACAGCGAACAAGGATAACAATGCTCCACCCTTTGGCCATACATCTGCAGCTTCTACAACAACCAGATTAGCCGCCGTTTCCCCCTTCTTTTTACATATATGACAAATCCCGATTTGCCTTTCAGTTCCGACTAATCACTCCCGAAGTCTGCAGTCTTTCCGACAATAACCTGCCGGCAGTTAATTTGCTGTGATATCAAATATTGCTGCGATAAAATTCCAACTTATTCTGGCTCAGTGTACTGTATTCTCAGATACAGGTGAAAGGGGAAAGAGTCGCTAACTGTAGTTTTAATGAAAGAGTTTTTAGTTGTGAGGCAATGTTCGTGAGGTTTTTAATTTGAGGACTTCAGTGGACGCGAAAATCAATCCTAGCGTGGTCAAATCCCGTTGCACTGTAGCTTCCGGTACAGTTGCTTCATCTACCTGATGTAGAAACGTTGTATGCGTGATAAGCTGCAGTGTGCTATCACTGTTTCTTACTGTTTATGTTTACCTGAAGGGAACACCAGCAGAGGGAGAAACAAGATACTGGGAAGGCAGGATTGAATCTAAACAAAAGGCAGCTGACCCGGCAGCAGTAAACCGTAAGTCAGCAGCTTCAACGGATACGCTCGTCATACCCATCTTTAATGGATTATCGCCGCCGGGGATCCGCAGACGGTAGCAACATAGAAACACACACACAGAAAACCAGAAGGAGGGACAAACGGATGCATCACACAGTGATTCAAAGGGAAACAGTAATAATGGGGACGGGAACAGAGTGTCATTAAACAAATCCTCTCAACGCCTACATGAATGGTCATTTAATTGACTGTAATCCTAGCATATTACGAGAGCCAGTTCCAGCTTCACATTAGCCCGCTTTACTAGAGGCTCGGTTAGACACCAAAAATGCTTTTTTACAATGTACAAACACAACAGTGAAGCAGTGCGTAAAGTTATTTGTAAAAGACAGTCAGTTCTTCCTCTTCATGTCCTCCAAGGCTTCCATTCGCCCTCTGCGTATCTCCCAACGATTTTGAAAGCACAGGATCCGCCTTCTGTCGCAGCTTTTATTTTTCTGTACGACAAACATACGTACATCAGCACTTCATAATTTCAGACTCACAGCCACAGAATTTCCTGGTTTAAAAACTACTCTATGTCCTCAGAACTAAAGCCCCACCAAAACCGCAAAACTAGAATCCTCCAAACCTTTGTGAACAAAACACGCAGCAGTTTCTTTTTACCCACCATAAGCAGATGGCGTGTAATACCTAGGAGTATGAAGCTGCACTGATAATGCCACAGAAATCAGATCCTAAAAGCAACTTCTCTGATCAGTTGCTTCATACTTCTGGCAAATCCGGGGACTTCGTTCACCCTCATGGTTACTGGCAGAGCACCAAGCTCGCTAGATATTTGACGCAGGGCACGCTCTGTTTGTTTGCGAAAGTGTAGAATAACATCACTGTAGTTCAACTTAGTTCTGATGTTTATTTGCAAAACTGGCAAATAAGATTGCCGAAGAAAGATGCAATAAGTGCTATTCGTCTACTGTTCTTCGCCCTTCTTTAAAGCCTGATCATATTTCCATAACAGATGCTATTCCACATTACCTATGTGAAGCTTTCGAATTACAATAGCCTGAATAGGCCATTTTTATTTCATAGCTGCTAAGCTAACAATTATTAAAGTAAATCGCTTATATAAGTTGAAAATTCAAACTAAAAAGACCAAATAAACAGAAAGACTAAACAAAGAAATGATTAAGAAAGTGAAGGAAAAGAAGATGCCAGTGGAATGTGTAAAGTGAAAAAGTAATCAGGGAAATTTTCTAACATCCTCCACACTAGCTTGCCGTCGAAGCATATTGTCCCTCAAGATAGAAACATGGGAGCAGTTAGAATTTTTCGTGCTAAAATCTGGAGGAAGGATTGTAAGCGAGTCAACTGACCAATGGAGTGTCGGAAAAGCAACCAAATCTTATTGATATGAATCAGAATCAGTGTGAGAACTGAACAGCAGTGGTCATTGAGTGACACGATAAAAGGTGACCGCTGCTGCCGCCACTAAACATGATACCCTGGTGCAGCTAGATTGGCGGTCCGGTAAAAGACGAAAAAAAGTTGATTGCGTTGACGACAAGTTCCTCCTGATTAACAACTGTTCCTCTTATTACTTGCCATAACAACACATTTTTTTTTTTGCAACAAAGTGGTTCCAGGATTCTCAAGATGCTCCCTCTTAGGAATTGAAAATTGCTTATTTGTATTGTAAATGAAGCATTTAAAATTGGCATTTTATATCAAAATTGGATGCAACGCGATACCACAAACAATCAGTAGCTAAAAATAAAAAAGACTGCGGGAATTTCATGCATAACCATTAAAAAGAATTTAATAAACTTTTTCACATTCACCAGGAAAGAAGCGTTTCACAGGATTACTTCTAGCGAAATGAGTTCGTCATCCCTGGAGGGCTTAGGAAAGAATTTTAAAAATTTTTAATGGAAACTCCAGAGCCGAGTGTTTCTTCCGTACTATATAATGAGGACTGACATCTTATACTAGCAGCAGTCTTTTATTAAAATCTTTGCGTAATTTTTTTACAGACTTTTACAGTGCTGAAAGTAAAACAGTCCATCAAGAAAGCTAGATTACTGACGGTCAAGCGATCCCGTTCTGAAGAATTTTTCCCGAATATCGTAGTCAGAAAAAGTGGAAAATCTGCCTACGATATTTTCCTGGGTAATGGTAGAGATAACTAAGTTGTACCATGGGATACTTAGACGAAGCTCAAACATTTGAAAAATGAACATTAAAAAAATGAAACATTTCAACAAAATTCTATAGGTGCACATAAAAAATCACAGAAGGGATGATGTGGTACCCGCATATCTCTTGCATCGGCGGTGTCCAATTATCTGGCTGGACGAGAGACAAGTTTTGTGTTTAGACCCAAGATTTATGTTTGGTTTCATTTTCAAATATGTCGCAGAATGAACTAAACGAAAGTTGAAATCAGTCACAAGATGCTCAATTACACTAAAAAACAAAAAGCTTGCTCTGAATTGCGAACAAAGTGTTGTGAAAGAAAAACCTCCCAAATTAAAGTACACAACTTTGTTTTTCTCGAACCCAGCCGGCCCACTGATTTTTCCTGCAAAAAGAAACGGAAACAAGTCAGAATGGCTTATTTGCAAGATGGTCGATCAGATTTATGAACTTTTTGTGGGGGAATCGAAACAGCTAAACCCACTGTACCAGTTTACTGAGACGCTCGTTGCAGGCCGGATTTTTTAAAGCTGAACAGAACGAGTGACAAAAGACCAAGCATCAGAGCCCATGAAACTATTTTGAGCAGCGCTGACAACTCAGTGAAAGGAATGAGAATGTGAAGATCAGTGGAACGGTTGCCTGTTCTATAGTATCCTGCCAGCTAATTCATTAACTTGCCGTTTGTGCGCTGAGCAACATATAGGCGCATTAAATCACCATTGGACACGTATGGGAAGCCGTTATTCAGAGCTCCTGGTACTGTTACTCCTGCCGCTGTAACTGTGGGGGGAACGGCTGCCACCGGTGCAAATTGCTCTGAAATCGGTCCTCCCGGAGTCATTGCTGCAGCTGCGGCCAGAAATCGTGGATCTGGTGGAAAAGTGACCAGCGAACTGCGCGATGTGGCAACTGCAAGCGGAGATGGGTACCCAGGAGCAGCAATGAATGGACACATTCGTGAACCATGTTGATAAAAAGGATTAAAAAATGACGTCGCTGCAACCCCGTACTGCTTGAAAGCGTCGAGACGAGCCCGTGTTGCTGCAGAAGGTCGCCGGCGCAATTTACCCGTTGAGCCACCAATAAACACTTCGTCTTCGCAAGATGCATCTAGCATCCAGTAATTGCCTAGAATATTTAAGTGTCATAATACATCGATTACTGGGGAAGAGCGATAAACGCCGACACGTAACATAAGAGTCGCTGATGTGAGACCAAACACACACTCAACCTCAGCTAGCATATCAGCTGAAGACAGAACACTTTTGACGCTCCAGGCCCAGAACTGGCGGCGGCTTTGAAGTGAAGTGGTCGCAGATAAGTTTTTTGATGGGTTTTTGGCCATTTGTTTTCAGTTCACAGATGAGTTTATTATCGGACGTCAAGAGTCGGAATTCTAAGAAACGTGAAAATCTGTATTCTTGTACCTGCTCAATGACTATTTTCCCAAAATCTAACTTTAATCATGCTTACCGAAATGGATGTACAAATAGGCAAGCATACATAGACAAAATTACATGCGTAAATATATGCATGAATACGCAAATACTTTCATAAAAGCCTACAGAAACGATTTCGTTATAATGGGTTTTCAGTTGGTATCATTTTCAGCTCTTTAAGTTTTCCGAAAAAGTATCCTCGCTAGCTCTTTCCCCTTCCGCTCTACTTTCCATAACATATGGGAAAAAACAGCAGAGCGCACCAGGAGTCGATGTGATGATGTATTTTCTCGATCAACTGCCGTTGTAAATACGTCCTGGATGGATGGGTCAACGCATGCTATGATAAGCAGATGTGCCTATCTTGTCGGATTTTTTTAGCAACCCATCCAATGATTGTAAATCAGAGTTTTGATGTTATGGCTTCCACATTTCTGCAGCATAAGCAGCAGGATGTTTCAGGTCGAGCAAGCAAGAGGCGGATTTCTTGTCAGGATCACCGAAATTTCGAATTTCTAGACAGTCTAGCTCTTATATGCAATAACAGACTGAATGTGGGTTGATATTGCTGTCTAAAAAAAAATTGGCAAGCTGATTATTTCGAAGACGAGTAGAGAGAGGTTCAGAAACATAACAAAAGCACCAACAGTATTGCACATGACAACCTCGTTAAAAAAATTTCCGGGCGAAAAATAACCTTTTCCAGGATCGTCATAACTTCGCGGTACTTTGACGAAGCATTTGTTGAGTGATAAATTGTGTCTGATGGAATTCTGCCATCCCTGTTTATTATCTCGATAGAATGGATAATTTTTCATGATATAATCATAAATACCACTAAGAGTCAGTCGCCTTTCCTTGCTACTTCGAATTGCCATCATGATAAGGGCGTTGTAGCTGAATGGCGGCTTTCCACTCTCGTCCGACTACAATGCCAGTTTATTGAATTTTTCAGCACCTAATTTTTTTTTATAAAAAAGTCAAGAATGCGAGGTTAGGTAATCTATTCACCATGGGATGAAAGTTGACATGATTGGCTCGAAGAGATAATCGCAGTAGTGACGAGATTAAAATCGCATGTCAGCAGGGACAGAATTAAACTTGACAGATAGCCACTAAGAACCAATTTTGTTTATCCAATAAATTTTCCACCAAACATAACATTGTGCGCGACGGTTTCTTTGATCACTTCATTAGATTAAACTACAATGATTACTGCGCAGAAAAATTCAGTCAGTGCAAGTGATAATGAAATAAGCGGTGAAAATGGTGCAAAAGTCAATAGTTTCAGTAATTTCGGATTTTTCCGTTAACTTAAGGTTTTGCGACAAAAATGATCTAATCTGAGTTTTTTCGCTTCAGATTATGTAGAATAAGTTGCGCAGTTTGGTAGAAGAGTATGTAGAATAAGTTGCGCAGTTTGGTAGAAGAGCATATTACTTGCACAGTAGAGCGGGCACGATTTTTTGGGGATTTCGATCATTTTTATTTTAGATGGGAGGAGGGCGGGGGTCCGGAAAGGGAAGGGGGGGGGGAAGGGGGGAGAGGGTCCGGGAGACAAAAAGAGCGAGTGGAAAGAAGGGTGGAGAGGGTGGATTAAAAAGCAAATCTGAAGTATTTTAAGCAGAGGCAAATATTCTTTTTGTTATTTAATCTAACACATTGGTAACGAAGCACCTGAACAACGCATATGCAACGGATTCATATGCTAACAGACTGCAGCTCATCTAACCCTTTGTTTCCAAGTTATGCCAAGAAGATTCCCCTGCATTCTGTTGATTTACAATAATAGTAAACCAGTGCTGGCGTAGCTACCGTTTTATGGTTCTAGTCGACTACACCCTGTTTCTTAGACAAGAAATAGCTATCAACATCCTTGTCAATCTCTAGCCGCGCAAGAGAAAAAGTCTTATTCAAAACGTACCTTCAAAATGTCTTATTCAAAACCTCACTCGTAAAAAATTGGACAGCTAAAAAGTGGAAAACAATGTGGAGAAAAATCCTCAAAACATTACGATTTCTGTAAATAAAAATTGAGAATATTTAGGAAAAAATTAACTAATTACAAGTTAGGAATAAAAATTTAAGAAAAAAGAATTAAGAATCAAAATTATGATTACAAAAAAGAGATAAATTGAATATTGGCCGCAAAATGACTTTTCCTGCTACCTGCTCTAGCTGAATTTCATCTCAACAACGTCTTTTAATTTCGTCCTGACCTACTACTTCATGGTCATACCAGAACTATCCTACGCAAAAAATCCCGCAGATCCATAGTACTAAGAGGATTCAATCAGTACTTGAACAACATTCAAAGATGTATAATAAAAAACTAGCTAACGGAGGAAAGGAGGGGAGCCAGGTTAACCAAGGGATATTTGGATTAGCACAAGCCCATTTCGATTTTCAAGTAACATGCAGAAGTTGGCAACAATCTGAATTAGCTCACTTTTTTGCTATCAGAGCCGCCATCGGATACACTTTCTTCTACGCCTTCGTCCACACCTCCTTCGTTTTTGCTCACCTCCACTGCAAAAGTTAAAGCAGTAGTTGCATTTGAACAAATTAGGAATGTCCATCAATTTTTGCGCTCCCCACAGGCCGTACCCTTGCAAGCAATTCATCTTACAGTTTTTATGTGCCTGAAAGCCGCTTACATTTGGAACATGATGCTTGTCGTTCGGCGACGAGATCCGGACATAACTCCGAGATCGAAAATTTCGACATCCACTCCTTTTTCTGTGACCAGTGCTGCTCCTGGTGAATTCCAGATTGACTGGTGTGCGTGAAGCTTCAGCAATAAACAGAATCAGTATATGTGGATGGAAAATGGCTTTTTATTCAGTGCCTCTGTGCAAGAGCAACAACCGAACTCACTGTGCACGGCTTGATTTCTGGGAATGCTCCAGGAACAAAGCGCACCGACCGAACAATCAGTGGACAAATTTGATGATGTGTATACGCCGGCACATCGTATCTGTTTGTATGGACACACAGAGACGTACACACCCACACAGAGAGTCACATCCGTGCAGACACATACACACCCACACAAACAACAACATACAATATAAGTGAATGATTATTCAATGATTGGTTGTTGGCGAAACGTACTGCCATTCGTTTGTTTCAACATCGCATCATCGGGGCGTGGCCAACTGAGGCCAGTGGGCGGTACATGCACCCAGGACACGGTAGGGAGCCGCCCGTTCGGAATGCCGCTACAACAGTTGTTCGTCTCTGCCAACAACCCGAATTGAATTACAATCAAAAATGACTTGAATTAGGTAAAGTGGGGTAAAATAGGATTAGGATAAATTGGATTTGGATATAATAAAGAGGGAGGGGCGAGACATACTGAAATTGGGTAATTTGGACGCAAAAAAGGGTAGATTGGACTTGGATAAAATAAGGACAGAAAAGATTGAAAAAAAGGGATAAAATTAAGCAGATCAGGACAAAAAGGTGACGAGCCGCATATTCGTTTAAACGTGGCGGAATGGGGCACCATACTGATAATTCCCACCCCATTCCGTACCGGCTTTGCCGTCTGTGTTTACAGTTTGGGAATGAAACACAGACAGGGCAACAGCTAATGCACATACAGGCTCGCTCATCTGAGTATCTAAGCTGGCACTTCCTGCTTTCCCACAGCTGTCAATATTCGACTGTGCCCCTCTTATCGGCAGGCCTATAGTGCCAAACAAACTTTCATAGTTTGCATCTTAAAAATTTCCAAAACACTTAAAATGTGCTGCATATTAATACTCGAACAATGAATTTGTGCTTGACGCGTAAAAAATGACAGTTGTTACATTTTTTTTTAATCGCAATCCCATTCATGTCGCCGATTTTTTTTTTTTAATATTACGATCGTCGCACCCACAAGGTACCCAAATCGACTGGATCACAACATCCCTTTTCAACCTCATTTCATTTTATCTACTTGTATCACTTTTAAATTACGCAACCCTTTTCTGCATGTAATTCTCTCGTTTTCTGTAGAAATTTATTTTTCTCACAACATTATTTTTAAAAACTGCGCTTCGCAATACGTAACAGCAGTTGAAGTCACTCATGTCTTTTCATCTGCACATCAATTCTGGTAGTTCTGTTTGCATATTAGTAATTTCAATGCTTGATAACTTTGCCCCACCTATTTGAATCCCAGTGCTCTGTTACTTGCTAGTTTTTATGTACTTATTTTCGCAGCAGCAATCCTGTTTGATTCTTTTCTACTGGCTTCGTCGAACAGAAATCCTGCTACTAAGCTGCTTGAAATTCAGTTGCCTAGGACTGCTCATTCAACTGCTTAGCACGTTTTCTCCATTTTATATGTCTGAGCGGATGATCCGGTCCAATAACAGATTAATTCATTATTACAATAAAATGCAGTTTTAAGCACTAGTGCTTATCTGAATGCTCTCAAGCATATCTGTAACCTAATCCTATTCTTCTAATTTATATTCGATTTTTGACCACTTCTATTACTCCAGACTTATCCGGGCATTAATACACAGCAGTGATGAGTGCAAGTGTATGACTGAAAAGAGATAATCTGGGGAAAGAAATATCTAGCTACAGCGAATTTTCAGTGAAAGGCTTTTAAAAAAAGTTGTTAGTTCTAAGCTCTGCACACATACAAGATGCGGTGCGTAATATATCAGATTTTCAGTGTGAAACACTGGATCTGAAGAAGCAAAAAATCGAGATGAAAATTAGAATTCATCGAAGCAGTATTTTTTCACACCCCAATAATTAGTTTTGGATTTCTTATTGTATGCTTTTATTCAGTACTGAAATGTAAATGCTGATTTTTCTTTTATTGTTTTGATGAGTTTTCCACACACTGTGTCTTTGATCGCATCGCTCTTGCGTTATCAGCACATATTTCAAGTATTTAAGGAAAATGGGAGGCAAGCCACCCAAATCGCTATTTGATTTTAGGAACAATTTAACCAATTTCTGTACGTTTTTGCACATTGCGCAAACACAAAGACACATATTTTGTCGAGAGGCTATTGGTGGGCGCTTGCCTGGAGGTGAAAGAACTTTGTAACCTACTTTCTATTCCAAAACTGGAGAAGTCAGGAAGCTGAAATTTTGCGAATGTTCCCGCCATACGTATCATCCTTACAACCTGAGATCATCGCTCACGCACACCTGGGTTTCACGTGCGTGCCATTCATTTTTTCCGCGGTACCATTCATTAATTTGCAACGTCTCCTCTTGTAATTACCGAAGTAGTAAAATTTGTTGGGAAAATAGCACTTCTGCAGTTCGATATTACATGTGAGAGCGACGGTGTTAATGCATGCACCTATGCTTCATACCGTTTCAAGATAATGCGCGTTCACAAATAGACCACAAAACTGTCAAAAATCTTCATACAAGTTAGACTGCTTTCCACAAAGCCAACAGGTGCTTTGGAACGGTATATTCGATTTAAAAAATGAAAACTTGGCTTAAGATTTTGGTGCGCAATTTTCGTCCTCATCTAATCTATTCAAAAACAGATTACTTTGTCAAAATTTATCAAAAAACGGATCCCTTTGTCCAGTCAGCTAAGATATTATCGAAATCACTCAGACATTTAATTACAAATTTTTCAGTTCTCTGGGGCACAGTTACAGATCGAGCAGCGCCGAACTTTGTTGCGCTGTAATATTATTTCCGGCTATCATTTGGCCTCCTCATCATCTACACTTACCACCGCTTTATGATAACTTCTTATTCCTCCTTCGCCTCATATTGCCTTCTACCCTCCACACAGTTTTACACACATGAATACTTTTCGCCGACACACATCGACCATCATTTGTTAGCCAAACAGTGTATTCAAAAGTCAACTTGTTGCCCTGTATGCCACTCGTTTAACGGAATGCCATTTCTGAAAAATATCCATTCCGTTTCGTCTCTCTTACCGCCACGTTCAGTATGCATTTCCATCCGGTTACGCCACTGAGCTCGTTTTACGTTCTCCTACGTCTTTGTAGTCAAGACTGCGAACTAAAGAGACGAAAACGGTCCACTGTTTTGAACGCTGAAAACAGCAGCGGTAGTATGCAGTCTACGATGGTGTATCCGGATGTAAATTAAGGCGCACATTCATTTTTTGACTAAATAGGTGTAAATTGCCAATTCCTTTCAAACATACACTTGCCGGTTGGTTCTCTCCGAATGGTCGTTTTTGCATCCGAACAAACTTTCTCATTAACTCCATCATTCTCGAATTCTACAGTTATAGACAATTCACATTGGCTAGTTAGAAAACAAGCAAAAAATTTGAATTGTGTGGATTAGGTGGTAGATAAAGCTGATAAACGGAACTGCTGTTAGTTGAGAGTACCGATGTACGCAAATGGCTGCTTGTTGTATACGTGCAAATGAACAATAAACAAACGATGAATTGTTGTTAAACAGTGAGGAAGCGGACGGATGGCTGATGAAGCTCATCAAATGAGCCTCAGGATGCAAATAGGCTTCATGAGTGCCGCATTCCAACAACTTCAACTAATGATGCTTGTCAGCCTGAAGCAGTAGCAGCAACGCCCATACCGAAATTTCCAGTGGCTTGTATTGTCCCACTTCACTGCATCATATTATTCAGTACTGGAAGAATTGAAATGTACACTCATGCGTTTCCTGATTTTGTTCTGAAGAAGTTTTACCTCCCGCTTTGCTTTATTTACATTGCTCTGGCATTTTTACATGAGAGGAATGATGAGTTAGGA